TTTTTGAGACTTTTTTTTTTTAAATGTGGGTCAAATATGGCTCATGAAAGATGTGGCTTAGTTGAGGTTGAATTAAGGCTGATATCAGGAACCTGTTCTGGCCCGGCGTCGGGCCGGAGTAGGGCCGGATATGGTTATACAATGCGGCTCAGATCCGGGCCGAATGCGGCCCGGATCATGGATGCCGGACCCGGGCCACTGCAGGACCATCATTCATTGCGGTATGTGGGCCGAGTGTCGTGCCGTGTCCGCGCCAGAGCTGGGCCAGACCAATTTTGCTGACTGGGAATAACATTAAAAAATTAAATTTTAATTGTTTTATTTCTCTATTTGGTCATGGGGAGGGTGGGACAAGAGAACGTGTGTGTGTGTGTGTGTGTGTGTGTGTGTGTGTGTGTGTGTACAACTCAGTTGAAATAGTTTGCATTTTTCCCCATTGACAAAAACGAACAAAAGTAAGTCAAATTCGTCCTACGAGTTTTGTGGAGCAAAACCAACTGTAAATGTGACGCTCTGTGGCTACGGAAACGCCAAAGCCAATTCACTCCTGCCCTCCAGTGGTAGGACAAGGGTACAACGTGGAATGTTGTCCTGCAACGTGAAAAGTTCCGGTACAGGGGTCACAAAAGATATATTTCAAACCCTAACTATAAACTACAAGTTTTCCCCTTCAGTATTGGCCAAACAGAACCAGCATGTCTGTGTCTTGACACAGTTTTCGAATGTGCCTCACAGGGCATTGTCTCCGTAGAGCCTGACCTGGGATGAAAAATGACTTCACAGCTTATACATTCACCAGAGCTCAAAATAATAATGGGATGGGCTGGAACAGCACATTTACATCGTGGAGGTACAGCACTAAAATATGCATCAAGTTTGTGATGCAATCACGTCAATAGAACCAAAATCAATACATTGGATTGCCTCCATTACCTTGTGGAATTTAAAGGGCACCCTGCTTTTACTAATGAAATGTCGAGTGTATAGTGAGAATTAAAGTACATATGCCATATGTTTGTTTTTAACAAGGATGGGAGAACCTGACAGAACCCGGAAGTGACCACGAGCAAGCCACACAGTAATAATTCAAAAAATAAGAAAAAAAATGAGGAATGAAAGAAAAGGAAATGGAGCAGGAAGCGTTGGGGAGGAGGCCAGAGGCCGGAGGCTGTCACCACAAACAGTTGAGACTCAGTCCCCCGAGTGCCATTCCCTTCCTCTCGCTCCTCCCTGTTCTCATTCCTCATCTCTTCTCCCGTACCGTCTCTTTTCCTCTGTGTATTTTTCTTCCACGGATTCCTTACAAATGGCTTCCGCTGGTTTTCCCTTTGCACAAATTATTTCATCCCCGTTTCAGCTCCATCAATCTTTCCCCCACAGGTGGTCAACCTCTGCAAAATGAGCGCACCCTCAATCAGAACCACCACTTCAATAGTAATGGAGTATTTAATGGCAGGTTTCCCATATGACACACAAAGAGATACTGCTCTTCTGATGCCGATCATCAATGTTGGTGTTTCTAATGAAAAAGAACAAATAAAAGCACTTTTGTTTATTACCTAGATTTAATGCTTTTAGGGCTTGTACAAATTAACGATGTGAGAAATAAAATACTGCCAGAAACCTGGGGCAAAATCTGTCAACATGACAATTCCAAAAAGGATTCTACTTAATTGTATTCAAACCAGAAAGGATAACATCTGGCGTTACTGTTAAAGGTTCAGAAGAGAACTCCAATACTCTCTATGGACGGTTGGAGTAATTACTGGTTGTCTTTTACAAGGTGTAAGCAGAGCCAAAACAGACAGTGGCTCCCCTTATGACACCCAGCGAGTCCTCACTTTGTCCCAATCTGTTCAACTAGATGTACACCCCGCCTCCTTCCACCTGTCCTCTATTCTTCCTTTCAAATCAGGCGTCCCTGCCAATCAATTTGATCACCATGACAACAGTTTGCAGGATGTCTCTGCCAAACGCCACCACCCAACCCTATAAACAAAAACAAAACAAAAAAAACTGAACAACGACAGCTCAGGATTGATGAGGGAGCATCTTGTCAAAGGCCAGATTAGATTAGGTCTGAAAAACACACACACACACACACACACACACACACACACACACACACACACACACACACACACACACACACACACAAAAACAACTCACAGGCAGCAGGTGCTTTTGGTTAAACCTTAATTACATGATCTCTGATTTCTCTGATTGATATGCTAATGACTACATAATTAATGCAAAAGCAGAAATACCAGCAGCCTTAGTAATGAGTGGATTTATTTGATTAGTTATCCTCCTGCATATTCAAGCATGTTGGTATACAGGGGACATATCAAGTGGATGTCGTCACAGTGTTACAAGTACTGGTATGCCACATCTACAATGCCGCTCATTACACCATTCAAAACATGCAATATCTATCTATCTATATATATATCTATATATATATCTATCTATATATATATATAGATAGATATATATCTATCTATATATATATATATATATATATATATATAGATCTTATATGTCAATAAGTTTTGATTTACTGTTATGATTGACCGAGTCAAAAAGGTACTAATTAAACAACATGTCTATTACTGTGGCTAAACTTTACAGAAGTGTAGTAGTACAGCTCCTCACCACTGCAAACTACAACCAGAATAACAAACATTGTCAACAAAAAAAACCTCAAGGCAGTGTCAAACTAAACGGATCATAATAATTGTAAAGTATATATATATATGTGTATATATATATATATATATATATATATATACACTTGGCCGATCACGCATGAATTAGTTTACACAAAACGCTATTCAAATACTCGACATTCAATGATTAATCTTCCTTTTGCGTGCACACAATATATATATATATATACACACACACACACACACACACACACACACACATACACATGAGACAGCTCTAGTATTATATTTTGTTTTGTGCAAATGTGCATAATGTTATGTTTGGTTGGAGTAGATACAAATGCGCAGTGACACAGATATAGTTAGTGGTGACAAATGATTCCACAGAAGAAAAACAGAACGGGGCAAAACTCACAGGTAGGTGTCGCTTTGAGGCTGCTCACGCAACAGGACCCTTGCAGCATCTGCTCTCAAAATTTGTGATCATGCACTCGACGGCCATTGCATTAGGTACACCTGCGCAACGCGGTGGAATTAAAAGACATTTAAAAATATAATAACGCTCAGAGCCTTATTATTCATTTAACATTCATTTATTATTGCACTTTGTATGGTGTAACCTGGACTGCACTATACAGAGTTGTTTCTATTTTTTTTTGTCTTTGATCTAAGTAAGTAAACAGTCTGACTGCAGCACACTCATACAAGAAGTGCTTTTCGAATAGGCTCGATTAAAAATACAAAACTTTAATTTGCCTCGATATATTAATGGCGTTTTCTGTCTAATTTAAAATAATCTCATTTTAAAAACAAAAAGGAAGTCAATGAGCAGCTGGCTGAGAGAAGCGGAGACTCGGTTATCCCTCTATTTTGCGGGCAAGAATAAAATCTATCCACTTAAGTTATGAAATGTGGGAATGCTAGATGGACAAAAAATGGTTGGAGGGCCTAAGGGGTCAGTTGGTGTGGTAAAGCCTCAAGAAGCATGTGCTGTATAACTTTGGAAGCGATTAGAAGGACTTTAAACTATCCTATATTTCATAAACTGTAAAGGCACTTTATCTTTAAAAAAAAAAAATCTTTAAAAAGCACAACTTGTCCTTGGTAAGCTTACATCCTATCGTCGGAAACCAACAAAATAAGTGTTGCTTAAGGGCACCTTGAGAGTGGTCTGGATGCAGAGGCGCATCCCTTCAACAATTAGAAGTTCAAAGCACAAGCCTCTAGTGAAGTGAGCTTCCGGACAACACAACTTTTGTGATGGCAACCCTGAAGAATATGAACAACTGAATGGGCGGAATTTCATTTCATATTTCCTATGGGCAAAATTGAAGTTGACCAGCATCTTGGAAAAGATTCCATTCAATCTTTAATGTTCAACTGTACAGTTAATCAAAACTGATTTCATCTTTGTGCAGACATTTTCTCATCTTGTATTTGATTGGATTGTAAAGGTGAACCTGATGTTATGTGTATTCAATCAAAATGTAGTAAAAACTAACTTCTTGCATCGCTAAGACTAAGCACCGACTGTAGCTTTGTACTTCAAAACCAGAGAGACACCATATGACAAATCATCTTTCATGGTTGAGTAATGTTTTCTCCCCGCTGCCTTCACTAAACTCCAATATATTTTCCTATAAGTGGGGGAGTGAAAGCACATGTGGGCCATGACCAGGTTGAGGAGTTACAACTTCACGCTACTCCCTCTTTTCTGGGGGCCTAAACCACACCACCCACAAGGCTGAAGGCTTGCATACAGGCAGTTGAACAGTAATGGCTAAAATTATTTGATTCAGCCCTCGGTGTCTTTATGAGCCCAAATTGGTCCATTTGAAAGGAGTGATGTGCGTTGCTGTGCTGTTAAATGACACACCGTAAAGGCCTACCTATATTTTGAGTTGAAAACCTGTCAAAGAGTTATGTTCAACTTTCTGGTATGATTTTGAATAAATTAAAAAAATATGCAAACAAGAAAACACACAAATGATGAAACAATAAAACAAACTTTGAATCATTTAAATATCCATCCATCTTCTGATCCACGTTATCCTCACAAGGGTCGCGGGGCATGCTGGAGCTTATCCCAGCCGTCTTCGGGCAGTAGGCAGGGGACGCCCTGAACCGGTGGCCAGCCAATCGCAGGTCATTGAAATATTAATAAGAAAACATTGCTTCTTTGTAGTTACTTTTTCTGCATGACCTTTTTTTTCGGTAGAAAATACAACATCATTTTTAACATTTGACATTTTGGGGGCTTTATATCTTGTTCAAGGACCTGACACACAAAACAAAACTTTACAGCACAACAGTAAAAAAAAAATAAATCATTGAAGACTGATCAATTTAAGTGGATACAACTCAAAATATTGACTAATACATTTTTTTTAAATGCAAGATTGTGTTGATTTCATAGCATTGGTGTAAGAAATGTGCACTGGCCCAGTCGGGCCACCGTCAGTAAACTTCGGGTCGTCCAACCAAGTCACTTGCCAAAAACTTGGGAATGACTTGACTTGACTTAGGACTTGGTATCTAAGCGACTCGACTTGACTTGGACTTGATCTACATGACTTTACAAGTCATCAGGTTATAGTGAGAAATCTGCATTTGAACAGTTTTCCTTTTTAGGAAGGAAAGCAAAAAAGAGAGAAAAAGAGAAAGATTCTGCTTCATTCCCCCCAACTTGGCAACCCAGCCAGCATCACTTGTTGTTAAGTGGCAACCGAAACACTAACAGTGGTGAGATCAACTTCGAGGATCATTAATTTGGATTAATGGATTATCTTGCGAATAATGTTGGAACTTGAAGGTTACGACTTGAGACTTACTTGTAACTTGCACATATGCGGCTTCCTACCACGCCAAATTTGAACTGTATTAGTAGCTCATGTAGCGTGACTACACTCAATAATTGTTTGTCTTGCCACATAGTGTGATATGTCCTGCGCCGTCCTTGGATTGGGTCCCCAGCATTGACCAAATGGAAAACAGTGCCCTCCTACTTATGACGAGACCTGATGTGGTGCACACAATCACAATGTAGTGTACGTATTTAAAAAGTGACTTGAACAAAAGGGTAAATATCGCAAAGTATAAGTAGCATTTCAGCTCATGCTACGTTTGCTAACTGCAAAGCTTGAAGCTGATTAGCAAACGTGGTGTCATTCAACAAATTGGTCCACTCAAGTTCTTTTTGGAGACGAGACAGTCCACACCAACCCCCTCCCAACTCTTTTCTGAACATAGCCTTTACTGAACACAGAAACAACGCACAGGCACCTAATGCCGACGTCGACATGACTTTGAAAGCTGCTTACCGTCACCTATCTTGACAGAAGGACGCGAAGTCTGGTCGGTGACGGACTTGTTTTTGTGACATCTCGCCAGGTCCAAGACACAGGAAGATATTGATCTGGTAGTGTGACACTGCGACTGTCGTGAACAACAAAAAAAGTCACGTAGTTTGACAAGGCTATAAAAGAGAATGAAAGCGAAAGTGAGGGAGGTTTCCAAATATGTGTGTTATGTTGCCAAATAATTCAATTGGAGTCGCGAGTTTCACGGCGTGCTATGGCTGAGAGAGTCGGAGAGAAGTTAATACGGGTAATGAATGGCGGCCTTGGTTAACTAACGTACCTCTGAATAATGTGTTTCTTAGGGGGCCACTCGGGCCACGCTTGATGGATGGCCTTACAGAAGCCAGGTCAATTAGCCGGGTAGACTTTCCCTCCATGTCGGCAGCAGACAGTACCACCACGGAGTTCACCTCTGTCACACGCCGAGTCTGTAATTAATCACGCACCCACCCGCCCACGCCAAGCAGGCTCGACTCACCTCCGCCGCGGGCGCGCACCCTCAAGCAAAGCGCGCGCCTGATGACCACATGTATTATGCATAGCCCTCTTATCCAGCTAATTTTAAATATTGTAAAGTGAAGAGTGAAAAGTGACTACACACATATAAAACCTAAAGTAAACAAAAGAATATCGAACATTTTTTTTAAAAAAGCCTTAAAACCTACGTAATTAGCTAAATACCCCACAATAATTTTGTGAACAAAAGGGTTTCCAAATAATATCAAAATAATGAACACGTGATGAGAGACTAAAAGCATTCCCAAATGAAATTAGAAAACATATTTTGTAAGAGTTTTTACTGTAGTCATTTGCTTTAGTAAACAAGTTGTCTATTATTGACCAACTCAAACGATGACATCATCAAACCAAGTCTGCAAAGATTACGTGCAGCATGTGGCAAAAGGGTAATTTCATGTAAAATAAATAAGAAGCCAAGAACCAAGAAAATCAGGACTCAAAACATGTATTTTTAATTTGAAAGATATCGGCCGATGAACCTAAGGCTAAGATATGTTTTTTTGTTTTTTTTTTTCCAGCTAAGATATGTTTCAACATTAACTATCTTTGAAATGACACTAACTATGAAGTGTTGAATCATTTAAAAGCTCTTTCATAGTTTACTTTTCTTCTGTTGTTTGTAGAAAGCTACTTCATGATGTGGTGAAGCTTCTTTGTAACTTTTGTAATTAATAGGCAGTCTAATGGTTTCTGAGAAATTACAACTTATGTACATGTCTATTCTTAAGTCATTAGTGCAGTTTCAAAATAAAGATGTCTCAAGTCCAGCGGTACCTCTCATTACTCAAAATATGTGTTAGCCCCTATCACTCTAATTGAAGTTAGAACAAAATGCATTATATTTTCCTCCCTTTTATATCTAAGCACACCTCAAATTTTGAAGAAAAGCTGAGAGATGAACAGAAAATTCTGTTTTGATTTTACATGGAATGACCAAAAATGCTTATCAGGTCATCTATACAATCTAAAAATAAAGAAATGTGCCAGACCTGTACCAAATCTAAAATGTTTTTGCTATATGCTATATACATATTTACCATTTCAGACCACAAAAACTTTTCCTTGAACTTGTGAAAATGCAGTATGACTTTTCCATTCAAAACTACTATGTCTGAATTTGCCTTCATTCATGTTATTTGTTTTTTATTATTATTTTAAGTAAAGTGATGTTGTTGGGTTGTATATACATTTGCACATTCCGATATTTTTTTAACTCTATTTGACATTAATGCTTTGATTCAACAAATATTTAATCAGACGTCACTCACGAATTACTCAGTACTTGAGGGTATTTATTTATTTATTTATTTATTTTTACTGAGTACATACTCTTAAGTAATTATTTGGAAGACTTTTTTTTGCTTAAATTACAGTATACAATGAGACCTCTTACGTGAGTACAAGTTTTGGCTACTTCATCCACCTCCGCATGCCATGCCATTGGTTGGTCATTTGATGGAAACTCTACAAGCATGAACATTAAACTTTCCGTCCTCCCCGGTCTTTCTTTTGAATCTCCTTTATCAGTCTTTGCACTGGACTTGAATAGGTGACGTTAATATGACTTTGTTTGACACATTTTGTTATCTAGCCAATGAACACTTTGCCAGAGAAAAGTTACAAGCACAAACAGTATACAACAGGCCTGTGGTCCGCTGCCCCTTTTTTTCTCTACAAAGGTTTGACCATCATAACGGCAACATTATGTCATAAATTACTTTAAGACCATATTAGGCTGTCATTGTGTGAACATGATTACCTTTCAGCCCTTTGACTGGACAGAATACAGATTGAGAGGTAGCGACAGAGACGTCACTCTGCGTTCACAGAACATCCTCCTGTGCTCGGGACAAAGAGGCTGGCTGACAGATGAGGCTTGTGTCTGGGGGCAGGGAAGTTGTGTGTTGCCGCCGCTGCTGCTGCTGCTGCTGCTGCTGCTGTGCTGTGCTGTGCTGTGTGTGTGCGCGTGCTACTTATTCATATGTGGATGCATGCATGTCTGAGTGTGTGCACCTATACGTGTGTGTGTGTATGTGTGTATTTAGTCGGAGGGAGTGGGCAGGGTCTCATGGGGCAGCTCTGTGTCTGTCCCATCTGCCACCCCACTCTACTGACACCCAGGGGAATGGCATAAGGGGCAGGGGATTCATTTTAGAAAAAGGAATTGGGGTCCAATGGTCTAATGGGCAACAACACAGGTTTTACTGACCGGCTCAAGTCAAAGGACACTGGCTGTGCGTGGACGCCAATCTTTTTGACAAAACAGTCGGCCGCCCCTGTCAAGCTTCGCCTCATACTGACTAATAAGGCATGGCTCAAATGAGAAAGGGGTGCTGCATATTTTAGACACACACATATTGCTTGCACCCGAGGCTAATGTCAGCCTAATGCATGGCCATGCTGTGGCCGGAGGGCTAATTGGGTATATAAACACAAACACCTCCCTTGAGAGGAAAGAGGGATGTCTGTTTTGTTTTGTTTTTTTTTTATACTGTGAAGGTGACGGTACTGTGCCTTCAACTTTGAAACTCATCGATACACATGCAGTATCAATAATGAAAGATAACATCGTCTTTGCTCTCATTAGAGCAGATGCCGAGTTTCCTCCCAAGCGGTGCATGCAGTGTGATGTGCAACGCCTCTGTAGCAGGTGGCATCTCATCTTGTCTTTATCCAAACTGTGATCAGAAGGCAGTAAATGGCGCTGATGCTGCTGCCACAACGGCAACAGTGAGAACAGTCAAGTGGAGAAGGAGCATATGGCTCCCGCACCGCTGGGCAGGAGGAGCACTCAGTAAGATGAATGCTGTGGCATCGGGAACAAAGCTGACTTTAACTCAGCAAATTAACACCATACCAAAGCCGGGAAGAGTCAAGCAGGCAGTTTTTGCCTTACAAAGATGGCCCTACTGTCGAAGTCACATGACTGCCAGGTGAAGTCGATCCTTATATCCTAGTAGATGATTCTGTTTATCCATAAATATAATGATATAAAGGCATGGGTGCTACCCTGCCCCCTTACTGCTTTGAGCGCTATGTTAATGAAACAGTTGCTGTTTCCTGGCATTACATTAATTACCCGATCAAAATAGAGTGGGTAATTAACTGCCCTCCTTTACCAGTGCTAATTACATTAACGGAGAAGGGCCATTTCAGGAGAACAAAACGGATACGGGGACCACAGCGGAGTTGTCGTCTTGCCAGACAAAAACTTAAAAAAGCAAGGAAACCCTTCGACACATGTTCTGTAAGTGCATTTTCAGAGCTGGCGAAAGATGAGGAGGAGGAGGAGGCCACAATGGAGGGAGACTCATGTGGTTCTCACTTGGGGCCCCCAGAGGGTGAGTCCTCAGAGACAAGCAGGCTTATTGGAGAGGAGAGAGGCAGAAAGATGGGGGATGGAGGTGGGTGTTGTTGTTTATCTTGACATGCTCTGCTCAGTCTTTAACACTCGCATCACAATTAAGATGCTGCGGCTAGGTAGACAAAATAAATGCTGCGCAAGCATACAGGTCGAAATACAAACAAAAATAGATCCAGCAAGACACCAGAGGAAATTCTTAATGGTCGGTTTCATTGGGAATTGATAGAAGTGAATTTTAAATTCATGGAATGAGCACGATCAAGATTAAAAACCAAAGATGCTGAATGATTTGCTTCATTGTTTTATTTGGAGCACAAAATATAATTACACCTTGCGATATACAAATCACATTTGCACCATGTTTGTACCGTTTTAAAGAAAAAGATGGGTTCAAAACATATTAAAATTGCTAATATTTTTAAATAAATAAAGTTAACCAAACTCTAAAAACGAAGTTATAAATGTCCTTGACTCTGTGTGTTTTCACATTCGGAAAATGGCATTCATGGTTTAATATAAGTCACTAAAAGTAACATGTTGTACCCATTGTGTACTGATGTCTTTTATTGTGCTTTCATTTACTGTACTGCATAGTAACTGACATGTGCTCTGCAGAAACATGTTGAATGAAGCTGAAAATCTTAATGGTATGCTATCTGTCAAATTTTCATTGTAGGATGACATAATTACAGTACAGCGTCGCATTGGTTCAACAAAGCATGCATTACACATGAAATAAGGCTAACTAACATTTTTTTTCCTTTATACAAGGACAAAGAACCTTCTTTTATGGCCTGACTCATAATGCACAACAGTAATCCTGGTTATGCAAAGAGCTTGCAAAACTGCAGATATGTAAAAGTTTTTGATGAAATCCACACGTAGTAAAAATGTTCAAATTGAATGGCAACGTTGTTCAATTAACTCAATCAACAGTCGGGAAAAAGAATCACTTTTATAAAACATGTTTATATTATTCCCTAAACTAGCTATAATAAGTTAAATTGCTTGTACTTAAATAAATCAATATATGAATTCCTTTATCAATAACCCTTGAGACAAACAATTGTCACTTGTAAAATCTTGGAGATCAGAACAAAAAATAAAGGGTCTATTTTTTTTTTTTTGTTTGTTTCTGGAATGTAAATTGTCTTCAAAAAGTCTACTGCAAAAAACATGTCGCTAACTCACAGACAGTGTACACACATGCTGTTTAAAGTGTCCATACACAGACGAATAGCACCCTGCTTTTAGAGCTGTCCATCATTCCAAAAGGTTCAGTGCTCGTGTATACATCTCTGGCAAAAGTTTTGGGCAGGTGATGGAAGAATGCAGAATATGGCATGTGGTAGCGCGCCGGAACAAAACACAGAGCTTTTGAAGCTTGTGGTAGAATTAGGACCATGTGGTTTTCTTCATGTCACAGTGTGGTATGGTCCAGTCTGGTTTGCAAAGAAACATTGCCTGCCTGTAAATAGGTTTGAAGTAATCTCCTCTACCTCTGGAAAAGATGTCTTGTCTTTGGATAGTTTCAACGTTTGCCCTTTCATCCGCCTGCGTAAAAGAGGACTAAAAATGGCGGGATGGCC